AACTCACCTTCAGATATAGGTGAGAGTCTAGATTTGGCTGCGATGGTATTCGTTTCAGACACTGCCAGAGACATGTACAGAGTGGGGGAGGACCTTGGGATGGGTGAGGACACCTAAAATAAGTTGAAAAACAAAAGTATCAACCCCAGACATCCTTCTACAGGTGCTTTAAGACATGTAATAACAGACAACACCTACGTCAAATACTGTACATGCTCAGAACAGGTTTGTCTAAGTATGCTCACAAAGATGTCTGAGAGCAATGCTCCACTTCATAGTATACCCTCATATTTATATTGACAGAAACACTTAAAACAAGTTCTTGTGGTGGTGCATGCCTTTGTTTATATAGTACATATCATTAGAAGAACAAGTTTGGCCTTAGAAGTTTTTAAAGTGACAGTAAAGTGACAGACACCCCAAAAATGAAACTTTTGTCATTGTTTAATCACCCTCAAGTCATTCCGAACTTGAAAGACTTACTTTATTGAGTGGAACACAAATGGAGAAATGTTTATAAAATACTCAAAAAATAGCCTAAACTTACATATTCCAACTGTAATGCGATTTTGTGAGAAACAGATCAATATCAAAATTGTTATTCATTGATTTAAACTTTTAAAAAATTGATGACACCTCGTAATAAGTCTAATAATAATAAGTAATAAGTTTGCATATTCGTGAGCAGCCAGAAGATTCTGTTGTGTTTCATGGAAGAAAAAAAAAACTCATACGGGTTTGCCATGTTCGAAATGAGTGTAAATAACAATTTCCCCAGAATTTCCATTTTTCCCTGAATTACTACTTTTAGTTAAAAGTTGTTTTGTGTGTGTTGTATTTCGAACACTTACAGTGTTTTGCGGACTGGGGGATGTGGAGGATGCTGGTGAGCTTGTGCTGGATGGGGTGCAGGAGCTTGATGCTGAACTGTCTGCCCGCTCTCTGAGCTGCCCAATGGGGTTAGACTGGCTCTCTGCCAGTGGGCTACTTCTGGACCCTGGAGAAGAGCTTGGGTTTGTGGGGTTTGGGTTTATGGGCTGTTTAATCTCAGGGCCCGTGCCTGTTCTCTGCTCTCTAAGAGGGACTACTGGTGGAGATGCTGTTTGGCCTCGTTCTTGAGGTTCAGGAACTGGTGCTGGAATCTGCATATAAGCATCAGGATATTGGTACATATCCATATACAGGCCACTCGGTGCCCCCTGGTGGTATGGAGCATCAGCGTTGCTCATACTCGCATGCTGAGCTGGATACATAGGGCCATACCCTGGTTGAGGGGTCATTTGCGGGTGGAAACCTTGAGGGATGGATCCAGGGGGTATAAAGGACTGTGCAAAGTTCATAGCCAGAGAAAGAACATTGGCCAGCGAAATAAAGGGCTGCTGGGAATGTGGCGGCCACATGCCTGCAGCTTGCGGACCAGGTGGAGGGGCAACTGAAAGTGGCAGAGTTTTGGTTTCAGCTTGAGGCGGAATCTCGATGGACTGCTGAACCGGTGAAACAACAGAAGAGGACGGAGAGGAGGAATAGAAGTTTGGGTTGCTGGGGACACGGGTAAGCGGACTTGGGTTGAGGGGGCTCTTGAGGGAGGCGTGATCGATTTGGTAGGGGTAGGCAAAGTGGGTGTTTTGAACATAAGGTGGTTTGGGGAGCTGAGGGGGCATGGCAGACATCTGATTTGGCAGGAGATGTGGCAGAAGTTCAGGGTGGGAGTACTGCGGGTAGTTGAGCGTAGACTGATAGGTCTGGGAGGAACCTGAAGGATGCAGAAATAGGAAGAAAGAGTGAAACACTGGCTTATCTCAATACACATTTACATAGCAGTAGTTCAAACAATCTCAGCTGCCAAGTTGTTGTAGTGTTCATCGCTAGTAGGCATTCCTACTAAACTTACAGTAGTCATGTCGTCAACAGTCACTGCCACCATTGATGCTATTGTAAGAAGTGGTGTGGCACTGTGGCTAAAACTTATGAACAGAAAGCAGTTGTGGGTTCGAGTCCTACAAAAAACAAGCCATGACCTGTCACACTTTATGCCCTAAATTCCACGTTGTTCCATAGGGATTGTCCCTCGAGTAAATGAGCTGTAAGTCACTGTGAATAAAATCATTGGATATGTGGTTACTTGCTCAAATCAGCAACTCTCGTGGAAAACTTTTGGTTGCTTTGTCACCATCTATGTGATCATTTTCAATGTTAAACTAACAATTAATTTATTAAAATAGGACTCTCTGACGTACTTTGACCGGTCAATGCTTTTCTTGACTTCTGAAAAGGCTCCATAGACATCACTGTGGCGTAAAAATAAAGCCACAAATCGGGATGTGACCTCACTCCTGAGGAGCTAACTACAATGGAGCATTCATCAAACTCCCTGTGCCAGTCCTCCACTTCCTGTGCAGACACATTGGAGCAATGATTTGTCACATATGTATCTTTCAAGAAAATAAAAAACTGGTAATCTTGAAATAGAGCTTTTACAGGCTGTGCAATATGTGTGGTTTGTTCTCTCAGGTAATGAAAGTTCATTTTGAAGCAGCAGGTGTCAAAAGCATATCCCGAGATACGTCAACAATGACACTGGCGTCAAAGCTTGGTCTCCATGGCGATGAGCGTTTAGAACAGTGGTTCTCAACCTTTTTTTCCACCGGGCCGCACTATGGTCCAAGTGCAAGTCTCACGGGCCGCACGCATATCATTTACATATTACGTCAGCAATACAAACCAACCTGATTTATAATATTATAGCCTAAATATTATGATATCTAATCGATTACATTCATTGAAATAAATAAATAATTCTACTCCCCATAAATAACACCCAATTTTGTGAACTTCGGCTCGAAAGGAGTAACAGCACAATCATAGGAGGAGTTTCACTTTTATGCGTGGGGGGGCACCCACTGGCAGATGAGCCACGAGCACTTTTTTATATGTTCTACATTTCATGTATTTATGTAACACATATTCTACATTAAAATATAATTTAGAATGAACAATAACTGCTGTACAAAGAGTAAAAAAAACAAAGAAAAAAAAACATACCTAATGCATAAAAGCCACCTCTTTTTCCGAATTGCGCAGATGACCACTATCTTTCTTTCATCTCTTCTGATAACTTTTCAGTCAAATCGTTTTCTGTGTGCTAGATCAGAAGCTAGAGCCCTGCATTTCAGCTCAGGCCCCGACTTTTTTACGCCCCTCGGGCTAGGCTTCGGGACAATTTTCACATCATAGTTCAGACGCGGGCAGGGCCTCGGGCCTGTTTTAGGCTTCTCCTTATTTTTATATTTTAGACATCCATCAATTAGTGATGAAAAAATTGCCGCGCTGGTTACGAATGATGTATTACTCTTACCTTTACATTTTTTTTTTTTCATTTACCTTAGAAAAAAATGCAATTGATCGCGCTGGTGTCTCTATGTCCTGCAAAGCGCGCTTCAGCTTCCACTCTCTGCGCAAACTATTGGATACAGCGCACATTTATCTAGGTTTAACGTTTAAACATTGTTATATGCTTGAACTGTTTTATATCTATAGATTTTATTTTAGTCAAGTCGTGATGATTTGAGAAGGCTAAATTGATCAAACATATGCTCACTGTCTGCCGCTGGCCACTTGGTCGTTACTTTAAATGCGTAACGTTAATTAGGCTATGTGAGTACTGCTCATGTCTGAAAATAATATATGAAAAACAAAATTATTTTACATAAAAACATTAGGCTATAGCTTATATTTATTTAGTACATTTTTTAATTAATATAAAAGCTAAAATGAATTGTAAAACTGAAAGTTTTTTTTTTTTTTTTTTATTGTGTTCAGCACGGTGGGCCGCATTTGAATTCGTCACGGGCCGCGGGTTGAGAACCACTGGTTTAGAAAGCCAATTGCAGAGTGGGATACACAAGATATCGAGTTTGTTCCCAGTAGCCTCACAGCTAATGGTGTGCAGAGAGAGAAATAGGCATGGAAAAGTGCTCTCGGTAACAATGACACGAGTGAAAGAAACAAGATGAAAGAGTGAGACAGAGAGAATGTTTATTATGACGCCCCGAACACTGAACGTCCACCAAGAGGTCTGGACTGTACTGATTATCTGTGTGATAGAACATGTCAAAAATAGCTGACAAGTCACAATGGACACATAAGAACTGGTTTTCCACTGGTAACTGAAGATGACAGTACAGACAGTACAAAATGTTTTAGATGACCAGGTGAGAGAAATGGTGCATAGATTTTCCACTGTAGGTTTGAGGTTGCATTTGATTGAATAACATAAAACAATGGAACAATAATGACCCATTGTTTGAAGAAAAAGACATCTGCTGGGCTTGATTCAAGTTACATGCTATAATAGGCACAAAACCCCTTTCTATTCAGTAAATCTGACTGAATCTACATGATGTAACAAGTTTAAAGATATGGTTTTGGGTTCACTCAGTTGCATGTAGATTAATTATCATTTGGATGTAAATTTGACCCTCATCCTCACATAAATTAGATTTCAGCATGATCAAGTTTTTATGATTTATGGCCATTCACAATACAAATTCTCAATGTGTTGTCATTTTAGGTAGAGCTGCTTAGGAATAATATGTATTGTAAAAAGCAATACATAAATTCAAGGAAAAAGAAAGTGGTTTATTGTGTGTACCTGTAGTGTGGAAGGATTGTGAACGCAGGGGCCGGACGGGTGGAATGGCATCGGGATCAACGTAAAAGTCGGCACTCAGTGTAGGTGAGGAACCCCGGGTCACTGGCCCTATACTGGCAGCAGCATAATCTGAAGGACATACACCACAGGTTCATATCATGATGTGCACTTTTATTTTTATATTGAGCAAATTACATTTTCTTTACATTACATAAAGCTTTCTGCATTTTTAGATTTTCATTAAGACATTATTTAGTCCCTTTATTAAAGGGTTAGTTCACCCAAAAATGACAATTCTGTCATTAATTACTCACCCTCGTGTCGTTTCAAACCCATAAGACCTTCGTTCATCTTCGGAACACAAATTAAGATATTTCTGATGGAATCTGAGAGCTGTCTGACCCTGCATAGACAGCAATACAACTGAAATGTTCCCAAGTCCAGAAACGTAGCAAGGAGATCTGTAAAATAATCCATGTGTCATCAGGGGTTCCACTGTAATTTTACGAAGCTACGAGAATGCTTTTTGTGCACAAAAAAAAACAAACAACGACTTTATTCAACAATTCGTCTCCTCCGCATCACCCTCTTGCACCATTTTGGAGAGTATCCGCTGGACGTAAACAGCGTATGCTGTTCTGTGTCAGCTGCGTCAAACGGATATGCTGTTTTCGTTCAGATCAAATCACAACAACGTAGGAAACAGATCCGGCGTGACGCAGCTGACACAGAATGTCAGATCATTTTTGGGTGAACAATCCCTTTAAGGATTTGAACACATTGCTACCTAGCCTGCATATTAAAGGAATAGTTCACCCAAAAATGAAAATTTGCTGAAAACGTACTCACCCTCAGGCCATCCAAGAT